CCCAGTTTTTCATTTTCCTAAGGGAATTTCAGTTTCAGTCTTCCTTTTCCTGTAACTCACACAACTAAGAAGAAACTGATCCTGCCTCCAGTTCCAGAGGTGGATCCTGAGCTGCCTACGCCCATCGCTGATGGCAGAACACACACAGGCAAATGTGTAAAGTTGGCTCAACCATACTAAAATACCAGACACATGCTCCATAGCTGAGAGGGGGATGGTTTTCCCCTTTTCAAATTTTTCTTAGTTGCTGTTGGATATGAATAAAGAATCATGATGCTGATTTACTGATAAAACCATGAAGCAAACCAGTCCTAGCCTAAGGCAAAAATTATAGTTGCAGAACTAGAAAAGAATCCTGTGTTCCTAAAAATATCATTGAGACACTGAACCAACAACCAACCCTGACTTCAGCCTGGTGGTATGCCATTAATAGGCTTTTAGTGGGTGAGGGGAAGGGGCAGAGATGCCTGTGTCCTTTGGTAATTTCTGGATTGTGAATACACTCACCATGGCAATATCAAGCTACCGATAATTTAACAACTGGCTTTTGAAATTCCTACGAATTTAACATTTGGCTCTTGTGAGCTGGTACCTGCAGGCTTTAGTAAACCAAACCTTGGGACTGCCTGTCATATGAGATAGTACATTTGTCTATTGTTTAAACCAGTTTGTGTTGGGTAACTAAAGATATCCTGGTAGTCAGCCCTAGACACCCCTTTCACCCTCTTAACAAATGTCCCCTGCCTCTCTAGCCTCAATCTTCTGATGCTCAGGAGAACTCAGTTATACTCTACACTCCAAAAATGAGGCCTGTGGATTTACCCAGATAGCACATCCCATGTACCCAATCATAGTCATTGATTCAGGGTTTTCTGATGATCTAAATAGTTCAATACAAATGACTTCCAGTGCTCTTGCCTGGAGTGCCAGGACATATGTGTTATCTCTAAGTTTTGTGATACATGGGTAGGTCCAGTGTGGTGCATCCACCTTGCCACTATCAGTCTGGCCAGAAGGTGTATGATGAGATATACAAGAAATAGATCTATGAAGAGTGTCGATCCCAGAAAATCACAAGGGATCATGACTGCAGGCTCTGGATCAGGTGAGTCAAGCTCACCCCATGTCTGAACTTCTAGTAAGATATGCCAGGTAATTCACATGTTTTGAAGCATCTAAGTTAGGTTTTTTGGTTACTATCTATCAAGGTACAAGTCCAAGCACAATGGTATATACTTCATATACTTTATTAAACCCTTACAAAATAACCCAAAAATGTTGGAATAATTTTCCTATTTTATAGATGGGGAACATTAAGGCTCAAAGAGATCAAACCATTTGTTTCCACCATTATGGGGAAAATAAACATTTAATCTCAGATCTTCATGACTGTGAATTTGCCCCTACACTGTAATATAGGCCCATGTGGTATCCTCACAGATATGTTCTTTTGTCCTGAGTCCTGTAAAAGGGCCCTATATAACTGAAAAACAACGTGAGAGTTAATTTTAACTTGAAAGTATAAAATTAAGCATTGTTTCAAGTCCTTTAACAACTAAACTGGGATGTAGGGTTAAATAGAATTGTAAATTCATTTATAGAGCCACCCCCTCCCAAATAGCAATGATACATAAAACATTTTTAAAGGAAAATAAAAGGGCATAGCCAAGGTCAAAAATTAGATAAATCCTTCTCTGCTATAAGAATGGGAAACAAATACAAGAGGATGACTTGGCCTTTGGCTTGTGCTCAAGTCATCAATGAAAGCTTCACTGCCTGGAAGCAAAGCAAAGCTTGCTCTGAGGTTTAGTAGAGAATAAACGTGCACCAGAACAGGAACCAGGCTCCCTTCTTAGAACCTAGCATGACTTTGTGACTTGTAAAAACTAAAACAAAGCTACAATCAAACACTGCCTAGGATTATGGCTTATATAAAGCTCTGGGAAGAGCTTGACAAGATTTCACGACCAACAGGAGAGCCAAGCTGCTCCCACATTTTGATGGCCCTGATAGTTACCAAGTGGCATGAATCCTTTAGAGATAGAGTTACCAAGTGGCAAGATACCTGTAGAAATCCTGGTTCAGAGCTAGGGACTCTGGAAGAGCTGCTATAAGAACACATAAAACTATTAGACAAAGAGAGGTGAATGCAGAGAGAGAGAAAAAAAAATCTGCCATTTAATATGAAACTACAAAGTATAAAAAGATAGAATGAAAATCACATGAGGAAAGCCAACCTATAAAATCAGCATGAAGTCATAGGCATTAAAATGAACACAACAGAGCAGTCCAAAAAAGGCTTCAAAAATGATGGAGAGTAGAATCCTTAAAGAGATAAATGGTGGACTACAATCTATTTAACTAAAATGAAAAACAACAAAACATGAGCAAATGCAAACACAAAAGAAGGGATTACAACTATTAGGAATAGGAATAAAAAATATAGAAAACAAAATGCAGACCTTAGTGGATGGAATCCTGTAGCCTGACTTAGTAATAAAGAAAGTAGTTAATTTTAAGAGAGCCATGATAAATTCCCCAAAATACAACATATGGAGACAATTATATCATTCAGAAAAAAATTAAGAGACGTAGAGGATAACTCAAGAATCTTTAACAAATTCCAGAAGAAGAGAATAGAAAATGGTAGAAAAGCATTATTCCAAGAGAAAATAGCTGGAAATTTTCCAGAAATGATGAAAGATAGTCCCGTCTTTCTGATTAAAAATCCACTCTAGTTAAATAGGTTAAGGAAAAATAAATCCACACTAAATCTCATTGTAGTGAAACTTTGGAACACAAAGTAAAAGTGGTAGGGAAAGCTTTAAAAATTATCAGAGAAAAAAAGAGTAAAGATTACCTACAAATGAGTGATATTTAGACCAGACATCTCTTTAGCAGTTGTTTAACATTTTAAAAGTGCTGAGAAAATATTAGAATTCTAATTTACCATTTAGGAGTGAACATAGAAAAAATAATAAATTGCATTAATTATATAACTTATCCAGATAGATGTACAGAAAGTGATGATTCAATCGCTAAAAAATGTCTGATCCAATCAGAGACTGAAGAACTCCATAGACTTGGCAATGACAAAGACCAAGGTGTTTGAGCGTGCAATGCTTGCCGTGCGATCTATGCATGGCTTCTGTACATGGCATTTTTGTGAAGCTCATGGATGATCTTTGGATGATGACCACCACCAAGAGAACCAGAATGAGGGTGATCTTGGACCATGAGGCCTCCTCAACTCAGGAATATGGCTGTAATTGCTGACATGGGAGAAGCCACGCTTGGCACCATTAGGTGAAGCCAGGGGGAAAAAGGCAAACCCAAAGACCTAGTCAACTGTCCTCCCCCCAGAGGTACTCAAGGTTCTTGGCTGGAGTTCATCAGAGTGTGTACAGGCTGTTCCCTCACTCAATTTGCCTTGCAACGTGGGACTTCCTCTTCTGGCCATTAAGAATAACTATGATATTACCAGATGTTCCCCACTGCTGTCTACAAGTAGAAAACTAGACAACAGGCAGCACAAGACTGTGGTCCCTCAAGAGAAGAGAAACTAAAGAAGAGAGTCCTATGATCACTCAGACTTTCTGCCTAAGGCACTTTCTAGATCACAGCACAGGCTGGGACCCTGTGCAAAGCACAGTGATCTTGCTAATTTGAAGAGCAGAGATGGGAGTTCAGGAGGCTGAGTGGCTGGACTTAACACAATAGAGTACTGGAAGGAAGGGAGTTATACAGAAAAGCTCCAGCTCTGTACAGAGGTTCTGGAAAGTCTTTGGTCGAATACTATGTGCACACACAGAGGTAAGACTCCAAGAGCCAGGCAAAGCACACCTCCCAGGGCAAAAACAATTACTCAGTCCTATAAGTAGAACAATTCCTAAAGCTAATGTAGGGGTGGGAAATGTGGAACTTCAAACCAACTAGTGTGACAAGATATCACTTAAAAGACTCAGGAAGTGCCAGACTTTAGTAGTAGGGCTAAGTTAGCTATAGAGTCAAGGCTACTAGACCCTCTGTAACCAAGATATAGACCAGGACTATCTACTGTAGTGGCCACTAGCTACACGTGGCTATCATACCCCTGAGTTGTCACAAGTCCAACCTGAAATATGCTTTAAGTTCTACAAACCATATTTTGAAGACTTAGTATGGAAAAAAAGAATATAAATTATCTTATTAATACTTTTTATATTGATTACATGTTGAAATGCTAAGACTTGGGGAATAATAGGTTAAATAAAGTATATGTAGTATTATTAAAATTAAATTAAAAAAAAAAAGAGTGATGGTCCAAGAGGTTAGAATGGAAAGTACACAGGAAAGAATGTTTCCAAATCCCCACTTAACTCTCTTAAGTGTTATACATAGCGCTCTTGTGCTATGTATTAGTTATAAATTTAAACCCAGAAGCCCTACTCCTTAAGGTCTATATTTTCTTATCTACATTCCAGTGTCTGAAATATAATCCTGTCTAACAAATAATCATGTGCAGTTGGAAGAGGTCTTCCTGGGAGCAGGTAATGAATACCCCAATTACCTGATTTGATTAATTCACATTCTCCACCTCTATCAAAATGTCACAGATAGCCTAGAAATTTATACCACTATTATAACAATTAAAAATAAAAGAAATTTTAAAAGGAAGTACCTTCTAAGAGACCAAAGAAAACATCCCGGATTCATAAGTAAGTGACAGTTAGCAGTAGGTAGAGCAAAGAAAAAGAAACACAGAGCGTGATCCTCCACCAAAAAAGAGAACCAGAAATGCCAAAAAACAACAGTTTAATTAAATGTTTTTATCTGTAGTTTATATTTCCAAATATAAGGTAAAAAAATTTCTTCTATTAATGGAAACGCTTCCGCGGTTCTAAGTATCTACTTCAGTTTATAACTATCTTCAGTTTGCACCTTGCATATAAATATAAATAGTATTTATTAAAATTCACAGTAATATGACATTTCAGAAATGCTTAAATGTAAGAGTAACAAAATAGCAGTATTTAGCATTAAGGAAATAACAAGAGCAATTCCTAAAACCTACGGGTGAGTTTCCCTTTGCTATGTACACGCTGACATTTGTAGCAAAAAAGAACACACCGGCGTTACCGGATATTTTGCGCGGCGGGCGGGGGGCGGGGGGGATCCACCTTATCACCTTTGGTGGTAAATATGGGTTCATGACATGCCACAGAGCTACCTTCTATAAAGGCAGTTAATGTCTCCAAACCAGACTAGAATTTCTAAGGGAAGTCTTATTTTTAGCAGAACACTATCTCTTTGGTGATACTTTCAGGTCTGGGGGTATATCAGGCTATCTAAAGGAACATCAAGGAGAAAATGAGCACAGAGGTGGCGGGGCTCTAGTAATAACTCTCCTACTTGAAATGCTTTGGGTACCTGGAAAAGAAGTAGATTATTTTGATTCAGTAAAATGACAAATATAAAATATTCAAGCATCAGAACTCATTCTCTGTTTTCTACGTGAATTGAAACAGTGCACAATAAAATACAGGTAATCTGTGCACAGACCTTTGAGGTAGAATGTTATTAAATTCTGCATTAAAATATATATGCTTTCCCTGAATAAGCACCACTCAGATTTGTGAACAAAGCTTCGAAATGTGGTCAAAACTCTAGACTTGTGGAGGTAACTTGGAGGAAAAATCACCTGTCGAGTGACTGTGACATTTCAACAAAAGGGCGTGGCTTCTATTGATTCATGGAATGAGGTCAGCCTCTGGATAGACATTTGTACGAACACATACTAATTATATTCATATCAACCTAATCATCTGTTACATATTAGAGGGTGAGCCTAATCTTTTGTTCTTTGCATACATTCCTATTGGGGACTTAACGTGCCATTGCATTTACTTTTGACCATGTCTATTTCCCAACTAGTTTTTAAGCATTCTCAAAAGCAGAATCATGAGATACTGAAATCTATAAATACACTAAGTCTGAAAATCTAACACATGAAAAAAGAAAACACATCCAATGAAAAACCAAGCAATATGTACAGCCTTCCCCCATCACAGCTTTTTCAAATTCTCATTGCACATATTCAGAACTGAGTTAGTTGTTCTTCAGTCTAGACCAAGCTTTCAGTTTCATTTTCTGAGTTTGAATTTTTATGGTCCGCCAAGACTATATGCTGAATTTTCTCTGCAAGAGCATAAAGATTGGCTTTTTTGAGACCTTTGATCAACACAGCATATGCATTTTTCTTCCCATGAAGTTGATACCAATGACGAAACAGTTGCAATTTCTGTTCAGCCGTATCTTGGAGATAGTCATTCTTGATCTCATCTATTTTGGCTTCATTGACACCATTCTTCCGAACAAAGACCTTAACTTGAGTTAGTGTCATTTGTTCAGCAATAGTAGGGATATAAGTATTCAAGTCAACATCTGAAAAACAGAAAATAGTCAGAAAAGTCATTTTCATAAATGAACTTTCCATGACTAAAAACCATGTTTATTTTTGCTTTTGTAGTACTTAACAAACAGGACTAAAGATCTACAGAGTTGCTTGGGGGGAAAATGGCAATGAAAAAGTCTTGACTTCCAATTTCAACTCCTGCTACGTCCCAAGTGACTATCTGTATAACCTGTATATTATATACACAACATCTCTGAATCTTCTTTTCTCATTTATACAATAAGAGGATTGGGAAACATTTCCTCCAATATGCCTATGGATCTGATGATCAATGACCCACAGGCACAAAAGGATAGGGCTCACCAATAATGACTGAGTCTATAGTTTGGTTTAACTTGTAGGTCAACGTAGGCAGTACTGTAATGTGTCTAACTGGTTATGAAAGAAAATTTGTTAAGACTCAGAATATAGCATCCTTTTGTTACTTAATGTATTTTAACTATGTATTAGTTATAAATTTAAACAAACTTCCTTACAAACCCTTCATGGTAAGCAGGAAGAACTGCAAGCTCAAAGAACAGCAAGATCTCAAAATATGTCACTTAACTAGACAATTTTATTCTAAAATTGGCCTGTTATGCCAAAGGGAGCTATTGTTATAAAATAAAATGATAAAGGCTTTACCAGATAAATTCATCGGCACTTCTTCCTGAGGAGAAAAAAAAATGGAGGTGAGAAGAGACATAGATAAAAATGTAATTGGAATATTCTAAATGTAATCTCCTCATTCTTCCTTAATTCTGAAGGAAATAGAAACAGTTGCTTAATGTGTAAAATTACAAAACTGGACTAAGAGATTAAGAAGGATCCTTCACCATTCAGTTTTGATTCTGAAAGGTTCCAGTCTTGCCAGAAACTAAGCAATGTTGTGCTATGTTCTTTACCAAGTCAAAGAACTTAAGAATTCATGGAATGGGCTGAGATTATTTTTCATATAGACTCATTAAAATAAAAAATAAAGATAATCATTCTAAAATGTTCTTACACTGTAACTATTCTTATTTTAGACACCAGAGAATGGTTCAAATTGAATTTTTTTCTTTTGGTACTATATTGATTTAAAGACCCATAACTCCCATTGAGTCCTGGCCTCAAATGAGAAAATCATACAATGACACAGAACTGGCTACTCTTCCCAGTCATTTGCTATTTGAAATGCCTGATCCCATGTTAGGAAAAGATATGCAAGAAATAAAGGCAAGGGGTAGGTGGAAAGAAGTGAGCTATGCCTTGATAGTGGACTTGAAGATAATCTCTTTGCCCACTGATCCCACACTCTGGTAAAGGACGTCTCTCTCTGTAGGGATAACACCAACATGGAACGTGGAACTTGGCCACGTCCTTTTCACAACTCACACTCAGGACACTCTCAGGGCACCCTATCACCCTATCTTAACTGAGTTGTGATGCCCTTTAACCCATGCATGACCTAAATGCTTGTTTAAAAGAAAGTAACTGATAGAAAACTGAATTACTAATTTCTCTACTTTTTCAAGAAAGCTGATGCATGTTTCAATACCTCTGCCGTTGTAGATTCAGGGTGGCCATTTTCTCTTTTCCTGAACTTTCTATATATTAGTCCTGAAAGATCAAAAAAGGTTTAATCAGACTTAGGTCTTAGCCTTGTAGGATGCAAGGAAGAACATCTTCTCACACTAAGAGAGGTTTAAGAAGGAAAAAGAGGGGAACTTAAAGGGGACAAACAGCACGGAAGGCAGTGCTGTGCCCATTTTGGGTCTCTTACTCCCCACCCCTGAGCCACCTGCTCTAGAGACAGGTCAGATCTTCAGTGAATCGTCTAATTACCATGTACTGGCCTAGTGTGAAGAAGGCTTCTGACTTATGGTGAGGGCCACCACTGCTCCTCTCCAGCAAGGAGGTGGGTAGCAGGGCTACAGCAGACCACAGAAGCCACAGAAAATGAAAGTCAGCATCAATTAGCCACAAGCGGCATTGAATGCCTAGAAATTCCAGTACACGCACTCACACATAACTCAAATATACATGCTCAATGGGTGTATGCCTTGAACTTGGTGAGATATGGAAGAAAGGAATCCATATGTGTCTGAGGACAATTGTAGTGATTAAATATCAAGAATGCATTTGTAGCTAAATAACCTCTAAAGGCAAGGCAACCTCTTTATCATCAGCTGAACTGAAAAAAGAATGAATTGTTCCAAGACAAAAAAATATTAGACACTTCTAAGTTAATTGAAAGTTGATGCAACTCTGTACTTTATAAATGATTTAAAAGGTTTTTCCTAGATTAATCATGATTTTGCTCAACTTTGGCTTATCTGCTGACTTCATTAATTTACCCTGCATGGGCGGATGGACATGGTGGCTCATGCCTGTAATTCCAGGACTCTAGGAGGCCAAGGTGGGTGGGTTGCTTGAGCTCGGGAGTTCGAGACCAGCCTGAGCAAGAATGAGACCCCTGTCTCTAAAAAAATAGCTGGGCATTGTGGTGGGCACCTCTTACTCCCAGCTACTCAGGAGGCTGAGGCAGGAGGGTCTCTTGAGCTCAAGAGTTTGAGTCGCTGTGAGCTATGATGCCACAGCACTCTACCCAGGGCAACAAAGTAAGACTGTCTCCAAAAAAAAAAAAAAAAGTTACCCTTGTGTAAAATATGCCACTGTATGATTGTAAATTAAGAAGGAGAATTAAAACATGAAGTTTGATTAAGGAAGGAGAAGTACAGAGAAGAACAAGTTTATCGCCTATTCCTTGCAATGCCTTTCCTGGGAATGCCTTTGCTTTTGTATTCTCTTTTTGCACGGGGACAGCTCAATGATTATGCAAGGATTACTTCTCATATTTGGCCATCTCTGCTGCTGCAGAGAACCCTTGCTCATATGACAGATTAGAATCCCACTCAGTGCCTCCAAACTGTTATCCAGAAACAGTAGCTGAGGGATAATACCATCCAATCTTATCAACTCTCGACAGTGTGTTCAGTGGCAGGAAAACAACAGTACAACAGATCTACCTACCTGGCAGTTTTGTCATGGGTGGGACATGGAAGGGAATCTTTGTGAGCAACTACTTCCCACGTTATTTTAATCTACAGTTTGAGTACTTACCACAAACAGCTAGTAGAACAAGTAGAACCGGGATCAGAATTAGCCACCAAAAGTGCAAACTGGATGCTACAAATTGGAAGATAGGACATTTCATATGAAAATGAGCATTTTTTAAGAGTAAAAATAGAAAACTCTCAAACAATGAAAGCGATTGGCTTTTCTTCATATTTTGCCATTGGGATGGGAGAAAGGGTAATATGGCCATAAGAAGAAATAACTACCATTCTTTTTGCATTTGGTGTTGCTGGTTTGAGTACAATCCTCAATAATTCCATGCTCACACCTAGAAAAAAATACAGGTGAAATTCAGAAAATCTGGTCAAATAATTTCTATATCATATTCCATAACACATCATAAATTAGGGGCCCTGTTATCTATCCTTGCATCTCTGGGAAACATGATCCCTTAAATCTTTCTAGATTAGCATCTAAAGCTGGTCTAAATGGATAAAATAACTTGGATAAAAAATACCTTAAAGAGTAACTCTATATTTTAAGATGTCAAGAATGTTCAAGGAAAGTAATCAAATACTGATATATAAGAGAGAGGATAAAACAGACACAAAAATCAACCTAAAAGTGGCCATAAATGGAACACTTGTACACTAGGACTTAAACTAGTCCTCAATAACAATTTCAAAAAATTCCCATAGAAAATAAAATGGGCAGACAATAACCGTCACTTAGGAAAGCTCCTCAGCTGGCCCTTACAAGTTGCCACTTTTAACATCAAGTGGTAACTTAAAAGGTTCCCATGGGATTTTCCTCTGACAGCCAAACACTGACAGACAATCTGCCTCTGCCCATCACGTAGCTGGGTGAGCTTGAGAAATCAGTTAACCATTACGAGTTTGTTATCTTATCAATAACAAGGACATAAAATGATCTACTTCAGGTGGTTACCACGAGAAGAAAATTAAATCAAGAAGTACTTAGAACTACTACTGATAATAACAATAGTTCTTATTAACAGTACTTCTAGCCAGGTGCAGAGGCTCGCACCTGGACTCCCAGCACTCTGGGAGGCCGAGATGGGCAGATTGCTTGAGCTCAGGAGTTCAAGACCAGCCTGTGCAAGAGTGAGAGCAAGCGTGAGACCGCATCTCTATAAAAACAAACAAAAAACTAGCTGGGTGTTGTGGTGGGTGTAGTCCCAGCTACTGGGAAGGCTGAGGCAAGAGGATCTCTTGAGCTCAGGAGTTTGATGTTGCTGTGAGCTATGAGGATGCCATGGCACTCAACCCAGGGCACAGAGTGAGACTCTGTCCAAAAACAAACAAACAAACAAACCACAAAACCCAGTAGTTCTAAAGACGACCATTTAGAAAGGCTACAGCAGGTGCACATAAAATGTTTCTAGCAAAGAAAACTAAAGTCTTCTTCAGTCTATTAGATGAACTCCTAAAAGCGTCCCAAGATGAACTACAAGTTAGGAGCGGCAAAACAATAGTAATCCTAAACCTTTACATTTATATAGAAGAATATCTTACAAAGTAAAAGAAGCCACCTTTATAACACATATTACCCAACCTGACGTTCACCGAAAGAGGCAGAGAGAACAAGCGGGTATTATCTGCCTCCTGTGAGCCAGGAAACTGAAGCTCAGAGAGGCTAAGTGATATGCTCAACCTCCCTCAGTTAATCAGCAGAAAAGTGAGATGGGCAATCAGGTTTCCTAACTTTGGGTCGAAACAAAGTCTTCAGCATAAATGGCAATCCCTGACTCCTTCTCAGTCTTGTCTACACTCCAGGTACCCTGCTCTCCTGCGCTTAAACTAACTTTTTGCAGCCTCTGCCTAAGATGTGTTTTCCATGGATTTGTACCTGGTAATGCTCTTTCTTTTCTTCCTTCAAGACTCAAGCCACATGTCTTATCTTCACCCCTGAGTTTTCAGGCAGAGTGGAAACGCTTTCCAGTATAACTTTGAACACCCTGAACACAAGTCTCTTCTGATGAGTCACATGGTGTTGACACACAGTAAGCCCTGCTTTTCTTGACAGTCCTCTAGACTGATACCTTGATGCCAGGAATATGTTTGTAGATTGCATTAACAATCACTCATGTCATTAGCTCAAGCAGCCAGACAGCGTCTTGTGCATGGGAAGTATTCAATAAATGTTTGGTGTTCAACCAAATTTAATTAAGCAAATGGTCACTAGCTGACTGGAGGCAAAGCAAGACTCGAGTGGTAATTCTTGACTCTCAGTCAGTGTTGCTTCCCCCAGAAGACAGTATCTCTCACAGTATACTCAGTGGGTTTTTAATATGTATATATTAAAATATATATATTTTATTGTTGGGGATTCATTGAGGGTACAAAGAGCCAGGTTACATTGATTGCATTTGTTAGGTAAAGTCCCTCTTATAATTGTGTCTCACCCCCAAAAGGTGTGTCACACACTGTGACCTCCTACCCCTCCCTCCTTCCCTCTCTTGGCCCTCCCCTTGCCCCACCCCCCACCATGTACTAGGTCATTCATTGTCCTCATATCAGAATTGAGTACATAGGATTCTTGTTTCTCCATTCTTGTGATGCTTTACTAAGAATAATGTGTTCCACTTCCATCCATGTAAAGTCTCCATCTTTTTTAATGGCCAAATAGTATACCCAGTGTTTTAGTCAGAGAAAAACTAAAACTTACTTGGTGCAAGGGTCACAGTGTTCACAAAATTCTTCTGTAGAAGAATTACAGAAAAAGTCTGATTTACATCTGCACTTGGTATTCCGGGTCCGACTGCAGTTCCTTTCCACTTCTAAGCCTAGAAAGCCAGTTTGAAAACTCTTAATTACAGCAGCTAGTTATAAACGAGCTGTGAAACAATGGGCAGGAGCTACATGGATTTTTGCAATCCACCACTTACAGGAGCGGTCACACCATCACACCTTTAGTAATACAGCTGTGTTTGAAGGCAAAACAGGGGACCCCAGGTTGAAACTGCCAACAACCATTTAGCAGATTTTAAGTGGACAGAGCAATCTGGCAACTGAGATAAACCCCACCCTTGTTTAGATGGCTTCCCTGGACCTTGAGCCTAGAGCCTTAACTATCAAAATGTGGCCTGTGGACCAGTGGTACTGGCTTCACCTGGGAGCTTATTGGAAAGGCAGAAGGTAGGCTCTCACCTATACTTATTCAATCAGACCAGTGCCAAGAGATTACTCAAGAGATTCTAATTTAACTGCCCTGAGGCAGGAACTATTGGCTTTTTTGCATAGCTTTTAGGCAACTCTGACGCATAGTCAAGGTTGAGAAACATTGCTTTGGAACCTGAATAGAAGCAAGAAAAGCTTTCCGTCTACCAAACAAAACTAGAAGTACATCTGTTATACAATAAAACTTCTGTAAGGTGACCACCCAAGGGGCTGTAACAAATTGGTCAACCTATAGAGGTGGTCAACATAAGGAAGTAGGCCTGCTGTACTGTGTGGTCTGGTCTATGAAAATTTAGATCAATTTAAGGAGGTGGCCAATGTAGAGAGGAGGTCTATTCTGGGCCCTCAGAATAGATTGATATATCCATAAAAATTCAAGTTAGAACATTCCAAATCTCCCAAGAAGAGGGAGCATCCCAGCCAACCCTGGGGTTTCTCTGTCCTTGTGTAGGCAAGGCTCTGAGCTCCTGCGGCCAGGAACAAGAGCCATCATACAAGTGTAAGTCAAGGCCATACAAAACATCATTTCCAGCCTTTTCATTGGAGCTGATGAAGCTTGTTCCCAGGGTTCAAATTTAGTCCTTCTCCTACATCTGTAAGAATTGTCTGGACTTGACTCATAAATGTCTAGGCCAGTGGTTAGTCAGCATCTGGGCCTGCTTGACCCTATTCAGCCTGGTCCTTCCCCTCATCAGAGCACCAGAGCAGCCCTCAGTTTCAAATTGTGTTATAAATGATTCAACATGGAGCATCCAGATTGGTCTTTTTTGATTGCTTTTTAGACTCTTACCATGTCCTTCATCACAGAGTCTACATCTTCTGCACTTAGAAGAATAATGATTCTTCTCCGTGTACTCCTTCCCTTCTTGGCATGGCACACACTCTGGTTCAGGCCCATCCTTTGTGCACTCGGTAGCTTTCCGTTCACCTGGCCAAGAAAGAAAGGGGCAAACATTTGAACAGGAGGTGACCAGGCAACAGTGTGGGAAGTATGGAGGGATGACAATCAAACCCTACTCAAATGAGGGGGTGGGAGATGTGTAGGGCAGGGCACTTCAGTTAATGATATATAAATACAGTCGGGGAGCAGATTATTATTAAAAATCATGCCAGGAGCCAGAAAGTCTGCCAAAGCAAACACCAAAAGAGTGACTGAAGGACTGTGCCTATAGAAATAGGATGATTAATAAAAGGAGCAGACAAAAAAAGGGAAGGCCAAAATGACCAAACGCACTGGAAGAAATGCTTTTACCAACTCACGTCTTTGGAGAAAGGGAAGAGGTTGGTAGGTGTATGTTCCCGGTGTGGATAGCGGTCACTGGCCACCCCGATTACCCAACTAATGCCCCCTGCTCTGACTGCTCATTTTACTTTCCAAAGTGCACAGATGCTGACAAGAAATTGTGTAGTTTAAGAAAAAGAACATTTGGAATTCTAAAGACCTTGATCAAATCTCAGTAGTTTCAAAATCTTTAACAAAGGGTTATTTTTTCCTAAGTGTAAATTCCATCCTGCACATGATGGAGAGCCTATGATCCTTCTCTCAAATTGCTGTCAGAACTGCACATGGCCTGCCTGGGGAGAATGGGCAGGTCCCTCTTCTCTTCCTCCTATTATTTTCCATTAAAAGTCACAGTAGGTTTTGAGGGGCAGGTGAGAACATATTTATAACAAAATTTATTATCAGGCTTGTTATTTTAATGCAAATAATTTTAAATAATATTTATGCTTGCCTTAATTTACTCTAAAAAGAAAATGAGTCACTGAATTGGTATTACTAAGCATTGTACAACAGATGCATTCCCTGGAAAAATTCACTTATTTAACAAGTGTTTATTAAATGCCTATTGTGTGCTAGGTACTCTCTAGGAGTTAGAGATTGTGCAATGCCTTGACCTTCAAAGACTTCACCTCCTCAGGCTAACCGTGGACAATGTACAAATAAATACATGTTGTCGAGTGGTGAAAACTAGATTGGGGGAAAAGATAGAGAAAAGACATGGAAAATATAAGGGAAGTGTATGAGAAAAACATTACTGGTGACTATATTAATGATATAACTAATTTTAAAAAACTGGACAAACTCTTATCTGCTTTACTCACATGTAGTGCAAAAAGAATTTATGCTGTGTTGCCAAGGTGAGTGACTTCCTTAATAACCTCATAGCATTCTTTTTGATAAAGCAAAATACAGTATCTCTCAAAGGTCACCTCTAAAGTTGCCATACAAAGGGAAAATGGGAAACTGTAGCTAAATGTATCTTTCTTTACCAAATATTCATTCCAAAAGTTTACAAAGAGGTGGCCAACATGTAGAGCTTTGTTCTTATTGGATACAGTGATGTGGCCCGAATAGTTAATCAAAACTATCAGTTCACAAAAGAAATCATTTAAAAATACTGTAAATTTTATATTTCAATTTATAAAATACAACTATATCATCATTTGCCTATCTTGTGATATAAAACCAAGTTATTAGAATCCTAGACTTTCCTACTTAAACGACATCCATAATACATTACCTATAATTTCCTGTTTTTTTTTTCTTTCTTCTCTCCTTCCTTCCTCCCTTTTTTCCTTTCCTCCTTCCCCCTTCCTTCTTCCCTTCTTGTTGGAGAGAAAACTTAAGCACATCAATAATCTGTATGAATGGCTTTAAAGATTTTTGCGTTTCTCCTATAGTTTGCACTCATTTTGCCCTCCCTTAATTTATCAACAATCTTTTAGCCGCTCACCTTTATCGAAATTCTCGAAAGCTTTCAACCTAGTTTTCATAGAAATAAAGTCTGTCTTTTCTCTGCATTTGTATTTCATTAATTTATACATAATATTGAATTAAGGTACATATTAATATCACGATACCAATGACCATAAACAGATTTGGAAGCAACTTGAATATTGATAAGCCTCAAATTCTACAAGAAGGAATTGAAGAGAGAAGAGTGGTTAACACGGCTGGATGCCATCCAGAATATTTAGAGGAAGCAAAGAGAATCATCCAGCCAGCAGATCAGTGGGCAGTCACTTAAGGAGATTTACATACTTGAGGACTACATTAGAAATTTATCAGAAAACATGACTTTAATTGATACATAATAGTATAACCTCTAAGTATTCCAAAATTTACTTAAGGAATCCTATGCTATTGGGTATCACAATGAAAGGCATTTTCTCATAAATCCATCACTATCTCATTACATATAAATATTTTTAGGTTTTTAACCCACATGTCTAAATTTTTTTCTTTAAAATTTCAAATTCCCATAATGGTCTATGAGAGTCCTTACCTCACAAGCAAATTCACCAGAGCTGAGATCACTTCTTAAATGAGAATAAAACCAATCAAAATCCAAACAGCAATGGACAGAAATCCTTGACAGCTTGATGCGCAAAGCATATTAACCTTTATTTTAATTTTCATTTTAGGTTTTAGAATTACAAATGAAGATTTCAACTCATAGGCCAAATTCATAGCATTGAGTAAGTTATAATAAAGCCAGGAAGCCATTCTTTATTCCAATGAAAAAGAGCAAAATGCAAGTGGGTTTAAGTATAAAAAGGCTGAGTTAAAAGGAAGATTTTTCTCCATAAAGGTTATTAAAGGGGGACTGGTAGAATCTTTTCAAAAATAGGATCCACACCCTTTTGCAGCCTGAGGGCTGGAAGCCTGGGAGACCAACCATGAAACCGACTGTGGTGTTTTCGGCTTCTGTTGGTCTATACCATGAAGCTGTGTGGCTCTTTTCCTTTACCTTCCTGTCTTATGCCACATTGCATCTGGTTGAGATCTATATCAACTCTGTTCCAATTTGAAAAAAAAGTCTGCAAAACTGCATTTTGCTTAGCTTCTAACCTGCTGGTGTTTGAAAGATTTCCGATCCGAAATTTGTTTGCAATGCAAAGTACTGATTTTTAAAAAATTGTTGGTTTCTGTCCGTTGCTCTTCTGGTTCACCTAGTTATTCAGCTGAAAAAATGCAAAACATTTTGCAGGCTTCAGTGCTAGGAAAAATAAGTTTCTTAGAGACCTTCTGATTAAAGGGAAGTGCTGAGACATATCCTGTAAGACTGCAGTTGCTTTCAGAGTTCTATAATTTTGATAGGATTTTGATAGGTCCGAATCGCCTTTGACATGATAAGCTTTAATACCTTTAATTGAGCCTTTTCTTGCTCTTGAAAAAAATGGATTGTGTGTGTCATTTGTAAATTATACTTGTATATAACCACAACAAACAAGTGTGACAAAAATGAATAAAACTGGTCTTAGAAAAATATTGTATAGTTATTTTTCTCCCGGTTATGCTATATAATGCAGTAGAAACAAAAGTTGTAAAACTTATTGTATTCATTATTATTATTTGTTCTTTTGAGACAGAGTCTCATTTTGTCACCCCCGGTAGAGTGCCACGGCATCAGACCTCACACCAATCTCAAACTCTTGGGTTCAAGCAACTCTCTTGCCTCAGCCTCTTAAGTAGCTGAGACTATAGGCGTCTGCCACTACACCTGGCTAATTTTAGAGACAGGGGTCTCACTCTCTCTTGGGCTGGTCTTGAACCCATGAGCTCAGGCAATCCACCCACTTTGGCCTCCCAGAGTACTAGGATTTCAGAGCCACCTTGCTTGGCCCCTTATTATTGTATTCATTATTACTATCTACCCCTCTTCAATCTGATTTTCATTCTAATCTTTGAATGTTTTGTATAAAATACCAGGAGGACAGGTCTGGCTGCAGAATTGGGTCCTGGGATGCAGGCCTTCCAAGTCCTGAGCATCACTGGTCCTCCATTCCAGTTTTCCAGCGTTGATTTCAGTTACTCGTGCATTAACACTTTTGGACGTTAATCCAGCAATAGAGGTAAGTATCTGTCAAAGAAAAGCACGAAGAGAATTTTACTGATTTCTCAACTGAGCAATGTGGTAAGCAGGCGGAACCCACCCCCAATGGTGGTATCTGTGCTGTGCAGGCAAAGCCAGTGTGGGGCTTGCTGACTTATCTCCAAGAAAGGAGCAGATCACCTAGATGGCAGTTCAGACTTCACTTGCCACAGTGTCATGGATAGTAGAATCCTGGGCTCTGCTCAGACATGAGTACTGGCTCCCACTTACTGCTCTGTGTTTGTGGGTAAAATCACTTCAATCCCTCAAATCTCATTTTCTTTATGTGTAAAGTAGATACAACCACTTCCTATAGGTTTGTTGTGATAATTAAATGGAACAATACAAGCTCTTAACACAGTGCCTGGCATATAATAAGTGTCTGATAAGAGGGACTATTAAAGTTCCAGTGAGGGGCAGCATCGTTCAATAAGAAAAATAAATTTCAAGACAACTGTGGGCTGAATCCCAGTTCTGCTACCCAAGATAAATATCCACTTGTGTGTGTGTGTGCATGTGTGTGTTCCCTATTGATACAGCATCCTCTCCTCCTTGGCATGCTAATTTCACCCAATATTTAGGAGACATTACTATGAGCAGGTCCACATTTCTTGGTATAAATGACCAAGTACCCAGGGAAGTAGCACAGAACATAAGAAATGATTGACCAATCATTAACCTACAATTAAGAGGGGCTAAGAGGGACTCAGACCTAGCACTTATGGCCTAAATCTGGGCTATGTTTCAGATTTGTAAAATAGTTTCCTAATTACTTTGATTCCATTTGGGCATGTAAACAACTTGATTGTTTTTGGACAATTGTTGGCAAGAAGACTGCGTGTTAATTATACATATAATGAACCTTCAAAACAAACGGATGTTGGGGGAAAAGGAGGTGTTTGGCAGGATTTCTCTGAGAACCAGAAGTCAGTCCCAAGCCCTCAAGTCTGGGAAAACTGTAGCAGGACCCCAAAAGCCAGGGCTCTGGCGGATAGAGAGGGTGGAATTTGCCAGCCCTGAAGCTCTGGGAAGAGCTGAATTTGCATGTCCCTCTCTCCAGTTTGGGCATTGAATTTCTGAGAATGGCCATGACCAAGAGTGCAGCTTCTCCCAGGGTGAGGATCTGGGATACACAAATATACAGAAAAATATTTAGGAACAAAAACTCATCCTACACTGGAATCTTTGTGTTTGATCTCCTTGAGCCTCGCAAAAATAGGGACACATGAGAGTTTGTCCCTTGAATGAGATGATGAGAAACTAAAACAACTAGATGTTCATTCCTCGTCCGCATCATCAGTGAAGAATCACTTTTTGTGACGTCCCAGGTTATGGAATAGAAGAAATGATGCAAGGATGAGCAGACCCAGTAGACGACCTCTGCCCTCACATACCCTAGTCTCCTAATTCCCCATGGATGTTCAGCCCCTGAGGGACGGTCAGGCCTGGGCATCCAAGGTGGCAGTTACAAATAGATTAATAACTCAGTGACTGAATTTAAAAAAGCCCTGGTAGAAACTGAGACTCCCTTCCCAGATTAATTAAAAAAGTCAGTGTGGCAAAATCGGCCCTATGAAATGAGCTAGGACTTAAAAAAGAAGTTAAAAAAAAAAAAACCACCAGAAAAACACCTTTTTTTTTTTTTCCTGTTCTTATTGTGGTTCAAAACAAACAGGAAAAGATTTTTAAAAAGCAGAAAAAAAAAAAAAAAAGAACATTGGGTGGGGAAAAGTGGGAGCCCTCTGCACGGGAAGAATGAGTAAACAGATGGCTAGAACAGCAGTGAGATCGCTCAGTACTGAGCACAGGTATCAAACTGCAAATTGTTTTGTTGTGACATGATGAGGCAGCAAGCTCTGCAGTAATCCTGGTGAAGAGGGTTTTACTTCTAATCAGAGCCCACAGGAAAATTTCTTCCATAGAAATTGTGCTCGGCTACTGCAGACAAAACCTGCCCTCTTGATGAGGGGGAATAATTATGGTCCAGATGATTTGACCTTAGCAGAAGAAAGTAGAAGGAAAAGGAATAAGAGAAAAAGACTTTCTTCAGAAAAAGAAATGGTTCAGCAGGATATTCCTTCTAACACATCAAAATTTAATAGAAATAATGTTTATTTCCACTTGTCAAGACTATGAGTGACTTTTTTGTCTTCATTTTGCTTAACTCATCTTTTTTACAATGCACATAAGTTCATTGGATAATAAAAAAGCTAGAAGGGAAAATCTTAGGGGTGTGGTAAGCTTAAAGATCTATAGTGATTTATCATCTGCTATATTCTTTTTCAATAAGATAAGAAAATCTGGATAATAATGATGAATCTAGAATAGCAACCCACCTAGCATTTGAAAGGTGGAAAACATTTTAAATATTTGGATTATTAGCATTTAATCATTCGTATAAATTTGGGGAGTTTTTTGCCCTTGTTGGCAGTCTTACATTTTTAGTAAATCAAACATCATAAAGATTAACTTATATTTGACCGGAGATATTCCCTTAAGCTAGTAGAATCAAGGCTATTTTATTTTCCTTTCTTCAACTGAGACTAAGTATATCCTCACGCATAAGAGCAATGTTATCTGATAATGAAGAAAAATCTGTTTCATTTTTGAAGTAAAACGATTGGAAAAAAAGATGTATCATGCCAAAGGGAACATTTTACTTTGTGAAGTTGAAAGTTCGGTCGTACAAGTTACCAAAAACCGATAACTATGGTTTGCATTAAGTTCAGGCTCTGCTGAAATCTTAATTTCTTTTTCTTTTTCTTTTTTTGAGATAGAGTCTCACTATGTTGCCCTTGGTAGAGTGCCATAGCATCACAGTTCACAGCAATCTCAAACTCTTGGGCTTAAGCGAGTCTCTTGCCTCAGCCTCCTAAGTAGTTGGGACTACAGGCGCCCGCCACGCCTGGCTATTTTTTGTTGCAGTTGTCATTGTTTAGCCAGGTTTGAACCCACCATCCTCGGTGTATGTGGCTGTCACTATAACCACTGTGCTACGGGCACTGAGCCTGATTTATTTTTCTTAAATAATACTTACCACATAAGTATATTTTGGCTTGGCACCCGTAGCACAGTGGTTATGGTGTTGGCCACATGCACAGACGCCGGAGGGTTCGAACCTGGCCCAGACCTGCTAAAACAACAATGATAACTGCAACAAAAATAGCCAGACATTGTAGCAGGTGCCTGTAGTCCCAACTACTTGGGAGGCTGAGGCAAGACAATTGCGTAAGCCCAAGAGTTTGAGGTTGCTGCGAGCTATGATGCCACAGCACTCTACGGAGGGCGACATAGTGAGATGCTGGCTCAAAAAAAATAAAAGTATATTTTATTAACCAGTCCCTGAAGATTCCTATGTCCAAAATACAATGCTTGGGTTGCTAGCTGCCAATGAAACAATAAGATAAACAAAAAGTATCTCATAATTTAGGATTTTATTGTGTAGTTATGGAATTATGAATAAACAGATACACAGGGGCTGTCTGGAAAGTATTCAGCCATTGGTACTATTATTTTTCGTATTACATGGCTGGATAATTTTCTAGACAGCCCTTATATTTCTCAGAATCCTGTCTATTTTTATACCGCTAGAGAGGATATGGGCTGATTTTCTTGTGTGGCTTATAAACTGGAACAAAATATGATAATGCAATGTTGTTTAGGCACCCATCGAGGTACTTTAGTAAGAAAAAGACACTTGTACATATAAGTTTGGGGAAGTTTGTCTTAAATTATCAGGAATATTATATTATACTTGAACCGGGTGTGTCTAAAAGTACTTATTATAAAAGTACAATATTAGCCTTAAATGCAAGTTTGATAAAATAAAAGTTTAAAAGTCATTAAGAAATGCCTGTTAAAAGAATTATTTGAAAATGAGATATCTCAAATTGAATATGGACATTTTAACCGCTGGCTCTGAATTTCAAATAGCCCGATGAACATAGGTACATTCTGGGATTCTAGAGAAAAGAGTGTCCCCTCCCACTCACCACAGAGATCTTTCAGAATTCAGCTAAGACATTAACAGGAGGCACAGAAGCACTTGGGAAAATGGCAAAAGCAGACAGGGGCGGGGATGGTATCGAGTTGACACCAGTGTTGACACCAGCTAAGCCGCCAGCTAATTCCTAAGATTCTTAACACTTAAAATGAAAGTTAGTGTTTCCTTGTATTTATATTCTTAGAGCAGGACTTTATACTGACCCAAATCCCTTATCTGATAGAGGCAGCTATGCTTCCAGCTAGTGAAGGGACTGGCCCACGGCCATGCATCTAGTGCAGAAGATTCAGGACTGTCAAGGGTCAAATTGTGTCCTCTCCCAGCCCCCAGTCCATATGGTGCTGTCCTAACCCCCAGTACCTCAGAATGTGACTATATTTGGAAACAGGATCTTACAGAAGATTACGTTAGAAATGAAGTCAGTAGGAGGATGAGTCCCAATTCAGTCTGACTGTTAACCTTTTAAGAAGAGGAAATTTAGATGCACACACAAAGGAAGATGCTATGAGGCACAAGAGAAGAAGGAAGCCTACAAGCTGAGAAGGAAGGCCTGGAACGGACCCTTCGCTTGCTGGCACCTCAATCCCAGACTTATAGCCTCCAGAAATGGGAGAAAATAAATGCCTGTCATTTAAACCACCCAATCAGCAGCTCTAAGAATTTAATATAAGGCCCATAGCCAAAGGTGACCAGATTTTAACATTGGTGAAGTGGGACAGCATTGACAGGGTGGGGTGGGTCCCCACCCCCAAAAAAATTTGGTCTATATGGAGCAACAAAAATTTTCATAGAATGCAAAAATAGTATTGTAATATATATTTTTTAAATTTCAACCTAAGTGTAATTTACAAATATAATACACTAAAAAATTATGTATAGTATTATTTTATTCTTTGGCATGTTTCTCATTTGAGTGAATTTGTTTAGTAGATTGCTGTCATTGTTTAAAAGGTCATGAAATTTTTCACAAGAATTTGTTAAATTA